CATTTTTAGAATTCTTCCAAAATTTTATTATATGTTCTAGCAACAGCGCTCTTTCATTAATTTATTCTTGTTTTAATAATGAAAAATACAATGCTACAAATCTGTATTTTAAAACACACCTGAATTTTAAATTTATTGAAATGAGAGCAACAATTTGAACGCAAATGAAATTTTTATCATTGAAAAGTTATTTTTAAACTTTTATATAGTATAAAGTTAATGTCAAATAACACTTTCGAAATATATCACGGAAGGACTCGCAAAAGCTTTAATTGACTCATTGGCTTTTTCAAAGTGGTCAGCAATCTTTCACTTCGTAAGCAAAATATTTACTGAAATAAAAAAAAGAAATTAGTTCATCGGTCTCACCGTTGCCTAAAGGCAACGAAGCATCGATGAAAATGCTTTATTTCAAAATCGTCTTCGAGTATCACAGTTCTTTAAAACTTTAAAAAAATTCATGAAATTTAAAGGAACCCTTACATGGAAATAAAACGGCATCATTGAAAAGGTCAGTTTAAGATGGTTTAAAATAGTTTTTGTCTGACAATTTGTCTAGCATTGCTGAAAAACATTTTCGCTTAATTTCTAATTAACTGACTTTTAAATTTCGAATTTTGAAAGTTCATAAGTGTCTCCCCTTGTTTTTTTAAATAATAAGTGTGCAAAATTTTTGTTCAAAACAGTATTGTTTAGGGAGTGATGTGGAACATAGCCACAATGACTTATATTAAGATTAGTTTCAATCCAGTTTATTAAGATTCTAAAACTATGCAAATGTACAGACGAGAGATTCCAACTAAGTTTGGGTTAGAAATTTGGTAAAAAATTTAAATTTAATCAAAATATATAGATATTTTTGAATGTTTATAATTTGATTGTTGGGTTTGTAAGACAGAAGGTCATTTGCCCATACTCCGCTAAAACATCGTTATCTAAATTCAGTCGCATTAAAAAATTTAAAAAATTAAAGCTGAAAAAGGCTAGATCACTTTAAAGACTTAGACTTCTCCTTAAAGCAGAAAATTCTTTTGATTAAAGGTTATACGAGAAACCGACTGAACATTAAAAAAGACTGAAGACATTTCATGAGTGAATGAAAGGTAAATGGTCTACATACAACATTTGACTTATCAGCTTTGAAAAAGTATTGGCATGGCGATGAATCTAGAAATCACTGTGAATCTTTATTGAATTTCAAATGGTGAAAATACTTTTTAGCAGGAATCAGAAGCAAATAGGGAAAGAGGAGAAAGCCATTAATTTACGATAAATCTAATTAAACATTTGAAAATCCTTTCTCGAGGACCAGCTACCCAGAACAACTCGTAAACATGGCTGGTCAGTGTCTTAGATTTCTTAGTTGCTCTCTAGAGATTTTTCTATCAAACATTCTTGCTATGATTCCTGCCTAAAGTATTACGCTAAATCCATACAATTGCGCATCTCTCGGCACATGCATCGGTGCGGAATTTTGCTACTTTAACCAGTATTTTAGTCAACATAACAAATAATTCTAAATACCTAAGATGTGCAGCATCAAATGTCTCAGTATCCTTACCATATTAATAGATTGAAATAATAAAAATCATTGATGGCGTCATCTATTTACGGTTAAATTAAATATGCCCACAAGGGTTAATATTGATATCTCATACTATATTCCATTAGGTGTGAGAATCCTGAATGCATGATATCCCTGTTTTCAGATTCCCAAAGAACAAAAAAACTTACACTGATTTCAGAGGTTAGTGATTCGCAAGATTTCTTGGCATCTTTCGTAAGTGTTTTAACGCTTACATTTTTTTTTTTTTCTGTATCTACTGGCTTTTGATTTAAAAACTGGTTTCCGTTTCATGGCAAACTAATAAAAGCGTGTTTTGAAGAAATGAATTGAATTTTGAATTTTCTTGTTCTTTCTAGGCTTTAATTAGAATTATGGACTTTTCAATCCATTTTTTCCCCTAGATTCAATAATTCAACATATCTTTAAGATGGATTGAAAATTTAAATAAAAATTAACTGAAAATTAAATTCTGGAATTATTAATCTTAAATTCTAAACAATTAGATGCATAAATATTCACCGAATACAAGGGTTCAATATTATTGCTTAGCATTCACTAAAATTTGTAAATTGATTTTTTCCAAAAAGAACCGGGGACGAGAGAAAATATTAAAATGCAGAAGTTGAAAATATTTTGTTGCTGTGGGAAACGTATAACTGGACAAAATTTCAAAACTACAGCGCACTTGAAAATGATTGAAAAACTTTAAATTTTAAAATTGATTATGATTATCATGGAATCTTTTTTCCTCAGATTCAGTAATGCATTGAAATTTCATTAAATTTTCACTTCAAAATTTATATGAAATGAAAAATTAAAAATCTGTCGATTTACTGATCATTCTGTCTGAAATTATCAATCTTTTGCTTTCGAAAAATCATTAGATGCATAAATATTCTTGAATGCAAGGGTTAATTTTCTTTCTTCGAGAATTATCCAAAATTGTGCAAATGATTTTTTTCGAAATATTAAACTCCCATTTTTTGAATCTCTGCATGCATATTTTTTAAAATATCGAAATCAAGAAGTGCCTAAGTTATTTACCTTCCAGAATGGTGTTAGAGAGGACATAATTTTGCAGACGAACAACTCGCAACTGGCCAAAATTACAAAATTGTGGCACTCCAGAATGTAAATGAAAATACGATTGCAAATTTCCATCTTTACAATCGTGAAAAAGTTAAATACAAGTATTAAAACTAAGCAACATAGTTAACAATGAAAATAGCAACTCATTGGATTAAATCCGCAAAAACTTACCGCATTTTGCTTTTAACTACCCGCTGCTACTGAAGTGGCACTCTGTAGAATGGCATGTCGTTATTAACCAACAGAATGAAACTCGCGTATGACATTGCGCTAATAATCAGCTACAATTTCTTTACGATAATTGAAGTGGGAGTTGAAGTTGTTGTGTCCTCCAAAGGTCCTTTACTCTATAGAGACACATGCCGCAATTATCCATCAGGATGGAACATGCGCTAATAATCATTTACACTTCCTTCGTGATATTTTTTGTACCATGCTTTAGACACCCACGTACTTAGAATTGTAATGCTCTAGGTTTCATAAACCATCCACATTTACTAGAAGAGATGAAAAGAAAAATCGCCAAAACACTTCCAAAGATCATTCTTTTATTTCAGATGAACAATCATGCAGCCTGGCAAGTCTCTATTTTTTGATTTCTCCTTAGCAGCACTTTTCAATGCGATGGCTAGTCGACGACTTTTAAAATTACAGCTCATGACCCCCAGCTTTTAAGTGATTTTCTATAATATAAACATCTTGATTTTTAACATTTAAATAAAGTTCTAGAGAAGAACAAAAATTTTTTATACTTAATAACCTTGCATTTGGAGCATGAAAAATAGTTATTAGGCCTCTCCATATACAGCTGTGTCAGATTCATTATACGTTCGCATTGCATATTTACGGATCCTACATAGTAGGGAATGAGCTCGCTTCTCATTGGCTGTCAGCGTCACGTGACTTAGCATGTTTCTAAATGACGTCGTGAAGCTAAACAGTACTTACCATTGCTGAAAGTTCGTCCTTTATCTGTTTTATTCTAAAGAAGTATACTTCATTTGCTTGAGAAACATCCAAATAATCATAAATAGAAGGTAGTTTTGATTTCTCCATGATGCGATAGTGAAAGACAAAATAATAGTTCAAATCCCGCCGAAGCGCGTTCCTATGACATCATTAAGAAGCAAGCCAAGTCACGTGACGCTGAGAGCCATTGGGAAACGACTTCATTCCCTGCTATGTAGGATCCGTAAATATGGTTAGGGGTCATGTTGGCTTAGTGGTAAGATCTCGACTTCTGGGCCGAAGGGTTCCAGCTTCGGAAATCCGGTTTCACAAAAGATTCGTGGTCTTTGTAGACCTACTGCGCGCTAAATCTGAGGTCATGCGTCAAATGTCTTCCCTCTAAAGTGGCTCAGACGCTTACGGGTCTATTCTGATACCCCCGGTTGGGTTGGGAGACGTCACTTTTCCCGTTATTAAGGTGCGGAAAAAGTGACGTCTCCCAACACAACCGGGGGTACTAGAATAGACCCCATAGAGAGGAGACTACAGCTCAAGTGTCTTACTTGTCATCTGACCTATGCTCAAAATTGCAAGGTTCGTCCCAAAATAGACCTAGAGTTGCTTCAGAACTGGTCTTTAACATAACTAAACTAAATTTCTCAGAAAAATTAGTTTTTTCGAAATTTTGTAAAAAATTCACTTTGCTAATCATTATATGTGACTACATTTTTGTAACAGGACGATAAGTTTTCAACACTGGGGCTGGAAGAAATGAAAGGTTTTTTTTATCACAGGGCAGTTTGCTGCTCAGTGGTGTAGATCACTTTTATCCCCGCAGATGCAACGATCTTGTGAATGGATTATATACTTGTTTTGTAATTCATGTTGGCCAAGTGACCTAAAGAGTTTAGAGTTTTAAGGGCAAATGTTAAAAATCGAGACGTTTTCGAATCCAAAAAAGACTTAAACGACCCTACTTGGAGTCGTGAGTTACAATTTATAAAGTAGATGACATGTCCATTGAAAAGTACCGCTTGGGCGGAATAAAAAAAATGTGTCAAACTGCATGATCGTTCATCTGAAATGGAAGGGAGATCTTTGGTGTGTTGTCGGTCTTTTTTTTTTATTTCGCTCCTGACGATTTTCAGTCCCTATCGTGTGCATTTTCAAGCCGGTTGAATGCAGTACACGATTTCCGTCATCTTGTTTGACCGGTCACGTGTTACAAACTTTTTGGCGAGTGGCATTACCCTCGTGCCACGGAAACAGACCACGATAAGTTTTCCGTGTGATATATATATTGATCTAGTGGTTAGGATACTTGACTCTCACTCAGGAGTCCCGGGTTCGATTCACGGTGTCGGAAGCCCCCTTCCCATGTCCATCCAACCAGCCCAGCCGCTGACATGGCATCAGGCACGGGGCGGCGCTCTGTCCATGCGATATACGCTTTACACCCTTTCGGGTGGGCTGAGCAGGTGCATGTTAAATACAAATTTGAACAATTTTATCGGTACCTTCCATAAGAATGTTGCGGATTCATTAGGGCTGTTCCCAACGTCACTCTGGAATACACAACTTTTCAATAGAGAGAAAATCTTGTGCAAACAGATGTTAAATTCGCGAAAAAAATTTCTATATTATTTTTAACAAATTAACTGGTCTGTTTTCTCAAATATCTAATTGTATGACATCTTCTATTTTGGAAATGCATTGCCATTTTAATTCAGTTCAAAACCTAAAGAACAGTTGATATGTTTGTGGATTCCACGTAATTTTTGAATCGAATTATAACGTCTGTGAATATCTTTGCTTTAGTTTATAAGTTTAAAACAGCGATAATTCGATGCGAGTACTGACAAACCAGTTAAGGGGTTAATAAAAATGTCTCTCATTTTCAAACAGAGAAGGTTGTTGAATTTCATTAATCCATTTAAAATGTGTGATAAATGAACTTCAGAATTATCAGTCGATGATTTCCTTACCATGAACTTCCAAAAAGAGAAACATGCGAAATAGGCATAAAAAGCATAGAAATTATACTTTGTTTGTGAGAAATAGGATAACTTTTATTGAATCTTGAAGATATACGTCATCAGATAGAGTAAAACAACAAATTATTTTTCCTTTTAAAAGAAAATTTTCTATGACGTTTCTTTGTTGCTAATTGCTTTTTGAAATATTGGTGAGGAGTTGAATATTTACTACTTTTATAATGATAGAATTGGATAGTCATTACATTGCGACTCTAACGGCTTTTGATATTCTTTAAAATGTAAGTACTTAAGTAGTACTGGTCAATAGGAAATTATTGGTAAGCGAAGCTAATAGTTTATTACTTACCGATATGAGTCGAAAATGGATATTGAGAATCAATGAACTAGAAATGCCTGAGTTTAAAAAATTTCGTATCATCGTGGTATTTTATTTTTGAAACATTATACCATTGCCTTATTCCTCAAATAATGGGCTAAAAATGCAAGACGATCTTTATGATAAACATAAGTCCGAAAGAATAATAGATATCATTTGCAGGAAGAAAAGAATCCTTGTTAATTCGACGATGTATGAGGAACAAAGAGAACTGAAGAAGAGGAACAATTATAGAAAATCCTTTCTGATCAAATAAGCAAATTTACGGATCCTACTATGGTTTGGATTGAGGTCGCTTTTCATTGGCTCTCAGCGTCACGTGACTTCGCTTGCTTCTGAATGATGTCATAGGAGCGCGCTTAGCTTGGATTTCGAATTTTGTCTTAGCTGTTGTATCACGGGAAAACCAAAATTATCTTTTAATTACGATTATTTGGATATTTCTAAAGGGAATGATGAATTCAAGATAAAGATAATTTTGGTTTCTCCATGATACAATAGTTAAGACAAAAAAATTCTAAATCCAAACCAAGCGCGCTCCTATGACATTATTCAGAAGCAAGTGAAGTCACGTGACGCTGAGAGCCAATGAAAAGCGACCTCAATCCAAACTGTAGTAGGATCCGTAAATACGCATCCAATAATCAATGCTTTTTTAACTCCCATTAAAAGAAAAAAAGTTAGAATAGTGCTAGGCCAAGGAATGGAGTAATTCTGTAAAATAAAAAGCTGTTTGTTTTAAACGATGTCATCTATCATGGAACTGTTGCAGATATTTATATTTGCTTGTTATCTGATATGGTTGTATTAATTGCATTAAACTATATATGATATATAAAAAATAATTTGTAAATAAAATCTGAAATGTTTATTGTTTTTATTTTGCTGCTCCATGATTTGGCTAAATATACAGGGTGTACACAAATGAAGTCACACATTTCACAAATTAATACAAAATAACTAAAAATGTTGGAACTACGAATTTTTTAAAAATGTAAGCGCATCTCAAAAAGTTTTTTCCAGATAGGGTTACACGCCATTTCGGTGGTCTAGGGCGTCTTAAATTACTGGAAATCAAAAATTTGTTTAGAGCCCTTACCTGAGAAAATATTAAAACTTGAAGAAAAATAAAAGCATGTATTTGTAGGGAATTGTACGCTCTTTAATTTGTTAATTCACATATAGTGTTAAAACTAACGAGTTTTCGTGATATTCAAGAAAAACTAAAAAAAGAAACCAGAAAACACTCTTCCGCTTCTGCTGATCGGTAGCCATTTAGTACTGAATTTTCTCGCTGTAACAAATTTAGAACGGTATAACGCCGCGTTACCTATATAAGAAAACCATTTTTCGAGATGCGCTCTCATTTATTAAAAAAACCGTAGTTCCAATAGTTTTAGTTTTTTTAAATTAATTTTTTAAATGTGTTACTTCATTTGTGTACATTTTGAATCGCCCTGTATATTGACAGGGTGATTCAAAACCAATTTTTAATGATTAAATTTGGAAATCAGTTTTCTGAAATAAGTTAATTTTACATAGTAACATGTGGCTGTGAGCGCAGTTATGACAATTACAGAGATCCCTGTGACAATATTGTAGCTGAAAGAATATTTCACAAAATGTAGCAGAAAAGCAGCCAACACGTAAATTTGGGAATGCGTCCTCGAAAAATATCCGATTAGTTCTTCAGTCGAGCCAAGCTGGCAACAATTATGTGCCGTACAAACATCGTGCCTCAATTCCAGTTCAATCTTCGATAGTGAAATTCATATTTGCGGATCCTACATGGTAGGGAATGAGGTCGCTTCCCATTGGCTCTCAGCGTCACGTGGCTTGGCTTGCTTTTAAATGACGTCGTGAAACTAAAGTGTACTTACCAATGCTAAAGGTTCGACCTTTATTTGTTTTATTCTAAAGATGTATTCATCATTTTCTTTAGAAACAAACATCCAAATAATCATAATTAATGTTACTGATGATTTCTTCACGATGCGATTTAAAACGACAAAATAATAATTAAAATCCCGCCTAAGCGCGTACTATGACATCATCAAGAAGCAATCCAAGTCTCGTGACACTGAGAACCAATTAAAAGCGACCTCATTCCGTACTATGTTGGATCCGTAAATATGCTACTGGCATATTGTTGTTCACTATGCTACTTGTTGTTCTCGGTTTTCTAATCATTATCAGGTTCCAATTATGCAAGATGTTCACAGCTTCCCTTGGAAATCAGTTTTGTGGAAAGAAAGCATGTTTGCTTCTTAGTCAAAGAGACTGAACCCTCTTGCGTTTTGCGTTTCTATGTCAATATTGCTTGGTTTTGTATTCCTGACCACACTACAAATTATTAAACAATCATTTGAATCACCCTGTACAAAGATAGTACTTAATTTCAGCATGCACGGTAATTTTTTTAATCAATTTAAGTATTATAAAAAGAGTATTAGAAGCATTGAGGCAGTGGACACACACAGATATTTATCATGTCGGATTTATTTCTTGTATATTGATATTTCAAAAATGAAAATACTAGAATTGTCATAAATTTTAACTCCGAGATATTAATAAATTTCGACATGTATATTCTCCGTGAGAGTAAGAAAAATCCATTTTCGCATCTTGTCAGTGATTTTGTTGGCCGAGTTTGCATGTGAATGCAATAATTTAAAAAACCTAGAAGGTTTTAATTTGGTATTTGATCCTTACATCAAATATTTAAATCGCTATGAAATTTAGATCAAGTCCATCATGAGAAGAAATTTTCTAATGACATTTATCCATTCTTTTTTTCCTGCTTTTTTAATGGTTCGTATTCTATGTACTGTTGAGGTTGGGGACGGCTCCATTTCTGCACGTTAACAGCAGGGAAAAGTGACGTTCAACTCAACCAGCGAGGTAAAGTGACCCTCAAACACAGATGAAATTGACCAAAATATAAATATTGGTTATAAAATGCCTTTTAATATTCACATCGAATTAAAAGGTTTAGTTTTACATTATTACTGCTATATTTTCTGTGCATTGCAAACAAATATCCAAGAGTACATCTTATGTACAACTTTAATCAATGCTTTAATTTATTTTTTCTAGACCATTCCCTCTAGTAAAAAATATTTTATCCTATTTATTTGTATCCTCTTTACTATTTACTAGAATTTTTTTCTGTATTCCCCGAGCTTTACAGAGTAAAGAATAAAATTTTTATGATAGCATGTAGGGTTCTGACATTTTCAGAAGAGGGAACATATTTAAGGCTTTCGAGATTTTTCAGGAAAAATCATCTTGTAATATCTTCTTAAAGATATTTTGGTGTTCACTGAAAACAACAATTTTATTCTTGTGCGATTCTGAAATTAAGAGATAAGGTTTCAACCTTGGTTCATAAGTCGCATGCTTCTGTTTTAACCTATTTGTATCTGTAATGATACGTGGCCTAAACGTTGCATGTAATTTGTATTGAATTGCAGTCAAAACATTTCATGCAATTTTCAAAAGTTATTCGATCCTGTTATCGAGTCCAGTAAGTTTTTACACCCTTTTGGTAAACTGGAGTCGGAATGGAAAAAAACAAAAAAATAAAGAAATAAAGAAGAAATAATAAAAAAATGAAAAAATAACAAATTATCATTGGCTGCTCATTTTATCTGAACAAAGTGCACTACATTGCAAACTCTTAAAGCAATAAATTATCTGGAAAAATATACCAAAATATTTTTTAATCTTGCTTCTTTATGTTTCATTTAAAAAAATCTGTTAATTCGATTTTTAAGAATAATTTTGTTTCTTTCACATAGGTTTTCCTTAATTAGCGTAATTAAACTAAACAGTTCTTCAGAAAGTCTTCCTGCTACTTTTTATGTTCTATTATTGTAATTGATACACTTTGCAGTGTAATGAATATTAATTTATGATAAAGCTTAAGTGATTTTTCTACTTTTTTCAGTCATTTTTCTGATATATTTTAATTAACCTAGCTATTATTTTTTT